CTATAACCTAGATAAATGTGAGATAAACAATTTTAATATAGTGAATGATTCTGTGCCATATTAATATTAGAATAAAATGTTAAATTTTAAGTTATATTTTTCACTGTGCGTTTTTTATATTACTGCTAGTCAAATACGTTGTGATGATCAGAATGATGGAGGTAAGACTTTTAAACAGGAGTTGTTTCATCTATTTTTTTATTCATTTAAACAGGAGTTGTTTCGTCTCTTATTTTTATTTATTGAATAAAATAAAATATAGAAATATCTTTATTTTCTCATGTTTTACTAAAGCAGTTAAGTGTATCCATGAAATTAATAAATGCACTTTGTTTTGTACAGGAAACAAAGAGTTAATTGTTCTGCGTTTATATAAACAGTTAAATTTATAAAAGCTGTTCATATTAACGCTGTTCGTTCTTTCGCTATATTTTATAAAATAGCAGAAAAAAATCATGTTATATTTTTTAAAATATAATAATTTTAACAATAATTTAGATTTAATAATATATAATAATTATTATATATTATAAAACCTAAATTATTGTTTTACATTATTTGAAGCTTTTAGATGAATATTTGTTTTATTTTAATTAATATATTAACTTTTTAATTAATTTAAATTAATTTTTATTAATTTTAATTTGTTTAATTATAATGATCAAATTCCTTAATTTAAATTATTATTGAAATTATTATATTTTTAAAAATATAATATGATTTTATTCTGTTATTTTACAACATATCAGAAAGAACGAACTACGTTAATATAAACAGCTTTTATAAATTTAAATGTTTATATAAACGCAGAAACTTAATTTAATAATCACAATTGTGATTATTAAATTAAGTTTGCTTTTCTACATATAAATATTCTATTTTAGAATAATAACATAAAGTCATCATATTCATTATTAAATTTAATTTTTTTGAGGGATTTAGACAAATATTTGTTTTATTAAATATATTGATCTTAATCAAAATCAAATTATTTATAACAAATATAAGTTTGTATTATATAGCAAATGAAAATAATTTGATATGTTCGTACGTCAATATAATTGAAATTCTCTTTTTTATTTTAAATTAATTTTATTTTTAATAAATTAATCATATATAAACTCTAGATAGGCTATATTTAGTTCATAGTTCTTATTAAAACAAATTATTTCTATCAATCATTTATATGTTTAAAGAATAATATTTATAAGAAAATAATAATTTTATTCGGTATTAATAATTCAAGCTTAATATATTAATATATTAAGCTTGATTTATTAATATCGAATAAAATTATTTTCTTATATTTATTAATTAATATAAATAATTAATATTATTCTATAAACAAATTCTAACGCAGAGATCATTATGAAATTCATTTTCTCTTGAGATAATAATACCCTCATATATTTTATAAATAATATATTATTTATAAATATTTTCATTTTCTCTGGACATACCCGCGTATATTTTATAAATAATATATTATTTATAAATGTTCTATAAATAATAGAGTTCTCTCTATTATCAATCAAATTCCATACACATGGTTCTCTGATTTAGAGCAATTTTTCTTAATTTTTACTGGAGTTTTTAAATTCGCGGTAATCTCATTTGTTAAGTAATTGAAATGTTTTTAATTAATTTTATTTAATTTTCATTTGCAATTATCGATAGTATCATTACAATCACAGCAATTTCATTAAAAAGACATATTACGTTCTTGGAGATTTGTTTTCATTATTGAATTCATACATGGGAGCGTTCAAATATAACGTAAGCAGATTTATTACAATTATTTACCCCCCCCCCATCCCCCTTGTCAGCAAAAGTAAGCAAAGCTCTTACGCCCTACTTACGTAAACATTTTGCAATTAATGTAAAAAAAATAAAAACTACTTATGACGTAATCATCATCCAGACTCCCCTGCCCCCCATGTCAACCCAAAATAAGCAAATCAACAACCCCCCGCCACCCTATAGTGCTTACGTAATACTTGAACGGCCCCATGTAATTGAAGGAATAATATTAATATACAAGCAGAATATTGTAAAACCCTGAAGACATATTACGATCTTTGATACTTTTCAATTTATTCAATTTGTGCAATCAAAAAAATAAATATTATTATGTTACATGCAGAATTGTAATAAAACCCTAGAGACTTAAAAGAATTGTTTTTTTCATTATTGATTCGTACACGTAATTAATTAAAAATAAAATAATACTATAGTTCATGCATAATTGCAATAACAACCCTAAACATTTAACCCTAAAGAAATAATAATATTCTACTAAATGCAGAATTGTAAAAATAATAACCCGAAAGGCTTTGAGATTTGATTTTATCAATAAATTGGTAGATGCAATAATAGAAAAAACTGGTAGATGCAATAAATACAAATAAATAATATTTTATTACATGCAGAAGTAGTACCACTAGTTTTCACCGTCGCCAGCGAAAGAACTGATGGGTTTTTGAGATACGAGCGTTCGACACGGGAGTATGGGATACAACCAAAGGTACTGGGTTTTGACCAGCCATGGCGCGGTGGGTCCATGGAACTCCCTGGTGGAGGATACAAAGTAAACCTTCTGATTGAAGCATTAGAACCATTCAAGGATGACGACAATAAAATTGCAAATTTACTGACAGGTAATAAATAATTCGCGAACAAATAATGTAATTATTTAACGTCCATCTAAAAGACAACATCCAGGTGGCAATATGATCCGGTGATATCATGGCCAAAAGAAGTTCTTTGCTAATTTTTAGTTGCACGTTATGATGTACTTTAAAGAAAGTGAAAACGAGAAATGCTATCATATTGAAATATGAAAAATTAGAAAAAAAATATTAAGAGAATCCACAGAAATGCTCTAAAATCATTATATTTAAATGACTTCCGTGAATTATTTTTACTTTGAAAATTATAAAATCAAAACGAGCTATTTTTATATTAATTATTATATCAACTTCTTTTTAGTTATGATGTAATGTTCCTGGCCCCTACGCAACATATCGTAGATAAATTTTTATCTACCGGCGCCAGGATATTATTTTCCGCAGAGCCTTTCTGTTGGCCTGATGTTACCTTAGCCGATAAATATCCAGAACCCGAAAATGGCGGCAAAAAATTTTTAAATAGCGGAATGTTTATTGGTAAATACTTAATGTTTAAGAATGGAAGTAATCAATATCTATTGATAATAAATGCTTATAACTATAACTATTTTACAGGTTACGTATCAGATCTTTACAAATTACTGTCATACGCTCCTATTCAAGATACTGACGACGATCAATTATTTTATACCAAAGCTTATTTAAATGAAGAGATCCGCGCAAATCTTAAAATAAAATTAGATCATAAATCAGAACTCTTTCAAAATATGAATGGTGCTGCTGGTAGGTTGATTTAAACCATTTATAATTAGAATAAGTATATTGTTATGAACTATACTCAAATAAGTACTTAAATTTTTGCAGAAGAACTGAAACTAGATTTTGAGTCCCGTGAAACCGGGATTTCTATGCTTAATACGGAATATCGTACGCGCCCCTCCGTTGTTCATGGAAATGGTCCTAGTAAAATATTACTCAATAATTTTGGAAACTATCTTGCAAATGCTTGGAAAGCGACTGAATGCCCATTATGTCATAGTGATACCATCCAACTTAAGGTCTGAAAAGAATCAAATAAAATATCTTCTCACAAAAACCATAGAAATCAAAATTATAATTTTTTTCAGGAAGGTCAATTTCCTACTGTTGGTTTGAGTATATTCATTGAAAAGCCCACTCCATTTTTGGAAGAATTTTTTGATAACGTACTAACATTAAACTATCCCAAAGAAAATATTCATGTATTTATTCATAATACTGTAAGTAAAATATACAATGCAATGGTAATAACAAAATGCTTGAAAGAAAAATTCAAAATTATGTGTTTATAGGTTCCAGAACATGCTGATATTGTGAACAAATTTTATGAA